CACCTCCGTTCGAGGATGTCTGACGACAAGACAAGATCTCGCATTGCCTGTCCGGTTGCTTTTCCTCCTCTCTCTCTTATGTCTGTGTTTGCCTTCGCGTGTCTCGCTCCACGTCGCCGTGGTTGTCCCCGTGCCTGCATTCCTCCTCGTCTCTCACCGCAGTGTGCACGTACGTTGAACTTCTTTCGCACCGCACGTCGCCCACAACGCTCGTGAGAGGTGCGTGTGGGGGGAAGGAAGTGGGGGGGGGGGAAGGCTGGAATCTTCGTTCCTCTTCACACCCTCTGCCGTGTCTCGCCGTGGTCTTCTCACACCTCCTCACGCCTCCCCCGTCACACGAGGCGTCCGTCTGGCGTGTTCTCTACCCGTCTGCGCTGAGGAGCTTAAAGGCCAAATACTTTTCCCTGCGTACTTAACCCACACAGCCATAAAACAACAAAGTTAAACGACCATTGCCGCCTGCCAGACGGTTACCCCCGCCTTAGCACCCCCCCCTCCTCCTTTCCCCCATCTGACAGGGTCCCTCCGTATCGCGGGGGGGTGGGGGGGGGGGTACCCCCGTGGCTTTTCACGACGTCTGCTGCTGGAGGAGACGAGGAGAGATGCGGGCGGCGAGTGTGGTGAGAGGAGCCAAACAGGAGCCGTGATTTGTTGCGCGACCAAAAAAAAGACCCACACTGACATGCGCCCGATCTCGCTGCATCTCAGAAACCAAACGGCGTCCGAGTGTGGTGTTAATATTTGAATTGGCAGACTGTCTGGGGAAATAATTACAGATGTTGCGTGGAAGGCTTGGGCTATGAGCTCGTTCTGCAATTGATTCTTGAATCTATCTGTGTAGAGCTTTGAGTTTTGTATGTAGTCTATATTAGGGCTGAACGGTTTGGGGAAAATAACTAATTGCGATTTTTCTTGCGATTTGATTTGCGATTAATATTTTTTAAGTTAAGCTTCAGTTCAATATTCACTGTGTAATAAATTTAAAACACGTGATGGAGCATTACCACATGATACCATCAACATATGAACTGCTCTATATATTCTAACACAAGGATGAGAACTTAAAAGCTATGAATTGCTTCCAACATGTACATTGAGGGAAAAAAGTATTTGATCCCCTGCTGATTTTGTACGTTTGCCCACTGACAAAGAAATGATCAGTCTATAATTTTAATGGTAGGTTTATTTGAACAGTGAGAGACAGAATAACAACAACAAAATCCAGAAAAACGTATGTCAAAAATTTTATAAATTGATTTGCATTTTTAATGAGGGAAATAAGTATTTGACCCCTCTGCAAAACATGACTTAGTACTTGGTGGTAAAACCCTTGTTGCCAATCACAGAGGTCAGACGTTTCTTGTAGTTGGCCACCAGGTTTGCACACATCTCAGGAGGGATTTTGTCCCATTCCTCTTTGCAGATCTTCTCCAAGTCATTAAGGTTTCGAGCCTGACGTTTGGCAACTCGAACCTTCAGCTCCCTCCACAGATTTTCTATGGGATTAAAGTCTGGAGACTGGCTAGGCCACTCCAGGACCTTAATGTGCTCCTTCTTGAGCTACTCCTTTATTGCCTTGGCCGTGTGTTTTGGGTCATTGTTATGCTGGAATACCCATCCACGACCCATTTTCAATGTCCTGGCTGAGGGAAGGAGGTTCTCACCCAAGATTTGACGGTATATGGCCCCGTTCATCGTCCCTTTGATGCGGTGAAGTTGTCCTGTCCCATTAGCAGAAAAACACCCCCAAAGCATAATGTTTCCATCTCCATGTTTGACGGTTGGGATGGTGTTCTTGGGGTCATAGGCAGCATTCCTCCTCCTTCAAACACGGCGAGCACTCCCTTTAAGAGTGTGCTCCTAATCTCAGCTCGTTACCTGTATAAAAGACACCTGGGAGCCAGACATCTTTCTGATTGAGAGGGGGTCAAACTTATTCCCTCATTAAAATGCCAATCAATTTATTATATTTTTGACATGCGTTTTTCTGGATTTCGTTGTTTTTCTGTCTCTCACTGTTCAAATAAACCTACCATTAAAATTATAGACTGATCATTTCGTTGTCAGTGGGCAAACGTACATAATCAAATACTTTTTTTCCCTCACTGTTTTTATTACAATGTTTTAATTGAAATAGAACAATAAAACATACAACAATTGTTAAGTTAAATACAGTTATTAGAATAAAAAAATAAAACAATTCCAATAAGAAAGTGATAGGACTTTTCAAATCGCAAAAAAATCGCAGCCTTTGTGATATGCTAATCGCATTGTTTTAAATTGCGATTTCGATTTCAAATCGATGAATCGATCAGCCCAAGTCCATACGCATGGTTGGTTTCCTCCACTTCCTCTGGTTCTTCTCAACAACGAGCTGAATTCGGGCTCCTCCGTCCACCCAGCAGCATAAATGTTTGGTGGGCTAAAGTGTGGGTACAACCACCTCTGCCAAGACGTCTGGCCATCACGGAAGAGTAGGCCGAACACACACTCTAACAGGAGCTCTGTGCAGTTCCCTCCAGCCCAGAGTAGTGGTTATCAACATCGACTCGGCAAGGCCCTGTGAAGCGTTCCCGCGACGTTGTTTCAGGTGCGATTTTTTTGTTTTCACAAGTCATCACATTTTTTTGTGCCCTTTTTTTATTTAGGTGAGTCTATACAAAAGGAAGCTACTCGTTTTCATGGCTTTTTGGTGTACAATTATAATAATTATTGTAAATAATAAATAGCGCGCTTTTCACAATTTTTAAATCTATGCCATTGGTGCAGCGTGGTCGTCCGTGAACATCTACCGATGCTTGGGAGTGCTCAGTGGGTTGAGAGCCACTAGCTCTGGAGGGGGACCCTGGATGGGAGAGGTCGATGCCCTTCCCGCCAGCAGTGGCGTGAGCAATAACACCCCAGCAGAGCCGTCCATAGAGCACGGCCACTCGGGGCGATCGTCCCGGGCCCCACACTTTGGGGGGGGGGGGTGCGTTCGACGTCAAGGTGTCAGATGTAATATTTCTGTATTAGTTGGAAGGCGTCGGGGCAAACAAAGATCCCCCGTATAGCCTTGACAGACTGTAGGGGCAAGTGCTGTTAGCGAGCACCTATGAAGGCCGGCACGGCACACGAGGGGCGGGTGGCCAACACCACGCCCGGCCGCCTTTGTCTCCCCAGTGGCGATGTTTACACACCGCACCAGGTACTCATTCGAGGCTGAGTCGACCTAGGGGAGGCCCAGGACCGGTTCAGATAAACGTCGCCGGTGTTGGCCGTGAGCGGGAATCAAACCCGGGTCGCCAGGGGTTGTCGTGTGGGGGGTGGGGGGGGGACACACAGTGGGATTTCCCCCGGGCTCCGCACCCCTCCTATGGACGCCTCTGAATGCCAGGGCCTTTACCTTTAGCGACGAGACCACAGCGGGGTCCCAGCACAGTGGACGCGAAGCGCGAGTCGGGGATGTCTCGTGGGAGCCGAGCTCCTCGGCTTCAAGGGCCGGAGGCTTGTATACTACCGCGCGGCTTTGCCAGTTGTTTTGGGCATGAGTCCAACCCCTCACAAGAGCAGCGGAGAGAGAGAGATATTTATTAGACTTTGCCGATCTGATTCTTTTTTTACATTTACAATGCAAGTGAAAGGAATTCCGTTGTCTACGTCGCACGAACGCGTTCAGCTTAATCATGATGTACATACAGCCGTACTGTCATAGCTCTTCAACGTCCGCTCTGAGCATCAATCATACACCAGCACCCGTGTGTCATTCACATGGCATGCACCCTACGCGTTTTTTTTTTTTACAGCAGAAAAGCCAGCTCCAAATCCTTTGTGAAGTGGGATCCAGTCTTTGTTTTCCCCTGATCAAGCAGGATCTATCCATAGGGACTTTTATATTTGCCAAGGGAAAAGGAAGACATGCTTTCTAGAGACGAGCTATACGGTGGATATTTGTTTTTCTTTTATATATCTACATACACACAGAATATATTACTGAACAACTGATATATATGCATTGCTACTGATTTTTTTTTCCAGAATGGCTGTTGTACAGCTGGAATTTGCCAAGATAAACGAGAGAAAAATCCGAATGTTGGCCAGCAAAAACTTAATTCAAAGTCCAAGATTCTCAAAAAATTCCTTAAGTATCGTAAGGCATTTTGTAGACCTATACGATTCACATCGTTAGTTAACCGAGTAATGCGCCTCTCATAGGGTGTGATGCTTAACTGGGAGAGATAAAAAAATGATGGTCAAACTCTTCTACCGATAACGAGCCAATAAATACTCCAGGGTTTAATTGTATCCGAATCTGAAAGGAGGCCCTGCACACCACATCTAGTATAGCTCGCGGTATGGATGTGGATCATAGCGACGCAGCCACCTATCTACATACAACTATTGAGAAAACGAAGACTCATGGGTATCCTGTGCACGTGGAAATGAGTTCGTGTGCCAGAACACGGATCGGTGTCATCGCAGGACCGCGAGGGATGGCGGCGGCACGGGTAAGAGGGGGTGGGGGTGGATGCCTTCATCCAGCAGTGGACAAACCACGGCTCACGAACGTCTCACGCGTTGAGCCCCGCGCAGCTCCATTCAACGCCACGGGCTAACGACCCACCTCCGATTAGCGCAGGTCGGCTACGTGCGGTGCGAAAGAAGTTCAGACATACATACAGACATACAGAGATACATGTCACATGATCCACAGTCTCCTCATTGCGCGCACATGGCCGGGAATTTTTTAAAAAGTCCAAACCCCAAACACGCTCGATGGCCCCCTCCCCCTGCCGTCTCCTCCACCCTATCAACGCCCCCCCCCCCCCCCCCACCGCTCTCGCTCCTTGTGCCCTCTCCCTCCTCATCCACCGTGCATTGCGTGCAAGACTCAACCACCCCTGGGTGGCGTCGGGTATTGCCAGGGGCCGCATAGGGGGTTGGCTTGGTTGGATTTGAGGTCTGTGGATGGGTGCTGGGAAGGAGGAGGAGAGGGAAGAGGAGGTCGTGGGGAAGGGTGGGGTGGTTCTGGGAAGGGGAAAAAGACAGAGAGAGAGAGAGGGCAGCAGAGGAGTGGAGGGGAATGGAATCGCTACAGGGCTAACGAGCGAGCGCAGGATCGCCGACGTGTCATCATTGTGAGCCGAATTGGACACGTGGTCACAAAAAAATCTGCGTTCTTAACCCACACAGCGAGCCACGTGGTTTAAGAGTAATTCTATTTGCGCTGCATTGTACAGCGCGCACACACACAGAGCGTGCTGCTGATGCTGCTGCTGACTTGTGGCTTTGATGTCCGCTGTGCAGGAAGCTAAGTCGAGTCCCCTTGCCGCTGATGTCTTTACGCTCATTCATTGATCACATTTTTTTTCCGCACCTCTCAGCCGTCGCTTCTGCGAGGATTGGTGAGCGAGGTTCCGAGTGAGGAGCAAACAGAGTTGAGGCGACCATGGAAATCAAGATGCTGCCGCGACTGATCCTGGCGGTGGTGCTGGCGGTGGTGGTGCCCAGGGCTACTCGGGGTCAGGATTGTGACCCCCGATCGCGCGACTCTTATGGTGAGGCGCGAGGATGATATTGAGGATGATCATCATCGTTTTAATCTTCATCAGCATTGCCATCATGATCTGCACTGTGAAATTTACTTGCTACTTTGATCAATAATGTATTACATCACCGTGCATCATCGAAGACACACGTGTGGTGTGAGCATCGGTCGCATCAGAACATCACCAGGCAGATGCGCACACCTCCTTCATGAATGAAACATTAAAGATAAGCCACAGTAGTACGATTGTGGCCATGCAACCTAAACTATGAACCGCAGAGTAAACGTACAGAGACACAAAGAGACACACAGAGATGCATAGAGATACATTAAATACAAGCCACAGTTGTGCGATTGTGGCCATAAAAAAAACTATGGACTACATAGGAAACAAATGTCATCTGCGTTCCGTCAACGAAGGAGGAGCAATAATAAAACGACACGAACTTTCTCCTGAAGCCCTCTCGTCGTCGCCAGCTGACACCAACATTGGCATCTAGCTCCTGAACACATTGCCATCATTCGCAATAATATAATCTAATGCGTCTCTAACTTTGCTGCTTATGTCAATACACCATAATCTTTCACGAGTAATTAACTTGCCGCTTGTGTCAAGACAAAAATAAGCTCAAAATGCCTCTTAGTAGTCTCAAGACATCATCGTCGTCTTTAAGACGTTGCTACTTGTACATGATGATGATCGTCTTCTTTAGTTTGTTGTCCTTCCCCCGTACCTCCAATTAGCACGGTTGGCTACGCACGGTGCGAAAGAAGTTCAACATACGTACGTCTGTAGGGTCGTTGCTTGTGTCAGGGCAAACTTCATCATTGCCGTCGTTGTAATCATCTGTTTCTCAGTGCACGCGCGTGACCTCTCAACGCGTGCCCACTAATCGATGAATCGATTAAAATCGATTATGTTCGGCCAAGATGCTGCGCATACATCTTGAAATGACACGTCGGATACGCGTGGCGGATGCACGGCAATGATTGAATTCTTGTTAGTTCGTAACTTTTTATTTGCCACGAATAATCGGCCGATACACGGTGAATGTTGCGTGTTGTAAATGTAATGTATACATTATATACGAGTACAAAAGAAGGAAGATATTGATGCGAGTAATCATTTGCAAATGATATGCGGATATTTGATTTAGTCTTTCAAAACTCTGCAAAGGAACGGAAAGGATAAACGATGCAAACAAGACGGCAACAAAAACAGTAAAAAAAACGATTTTGTAATCGAATCGTAAAGTTTGTTACATGCCTCTGGAGAGGGACGTGTTGTGTATTGTATGATTTTGCGTCCAACTGGGAGCCATATCTTAAACAGAGGGTCCGTGCCTACTGTCAAGCTCGACTCTTCTGCTGATGAGACATTGTCTGTTGAAACCGCTAAAGAGGTTTGCTTGTCCCGAATCCAATGCTGCTAATCATGACGGTGTGGATCATAACTGAATATTTTTAATGCGCAGGGACAGATATATATATTAAGATGTATTTGGTTATCTGTTACATACTGTATATTAATCGGGCCGTGTTATTCGGACGCTGTTTTGGATACCGCGAGTTTAAAATCCATTCTTGACCCGTACCCTCCCTCGCCTTCCCAATCCGCACTGACAATCCTGGCGAAGTATGGTCAAATATCCCCCACGATCCATAAGGCGTTTAGGGAGGCCCTCGTCCAGCAGTGGATTGACAAAGGGGCTGTATCACGTGGCCCATGCGCTTTGAGCGCAGCGCCGCTGCCTGGCCAAGATCTCCCGAGGTTTCCCCTAGTGCTGGTGCCATGTGGTTTAGATTTCTGCACCCAGGCGTTGGCACGCCAGCATTAGCCCTCGTTCCATAAATCAAGCGGTTTTACCGTTAAGCGGCCAAAAAAAAAACTTCGACAGAGACCAAAAGCTTCGATCGAGATTTTTTTTAAATAACTGCAACATCGCAAAGACGTGGGAGGGGGGGGGGGGTGCTCGAGAGTGCACAAAAAAACATTTAATGAAGAGCAGTAGCCCCGTCTCGAGATGATGAAGCAAAGTTAGACGGACTGCGTTTTGATTTTTTATTTAAAGCTTTCGTGACTGCAGGGATTCATATTCTTGGTTCTTTGGGTAAAGTATTTGGTTTCCCTTCTACGTGACTTTACCGAAAGAACCAAGAATATGGACTGCGTTTTGCTCTAAGTGGCTTAGGCTATTACTAACAGGTTTTCGGGGCATATGAAGACAACGATCCCCCCTTATAGCCTTAACATACTGTTGGGGGGCAAGTGCTGTTAGCGAATAGCACCTATGAAGGCTGGAACGGTACATGAGGTGAATGGGTGGCCAGGACCACACCCGAACGCCTTTGTCTCCCTAGTGTAGATATTTAGACACCACACCAGGTACTCATTTGAACCGAGTCGACTTAGGGGAGGCATCAGGACCGGTTCAGATAATCGTCACTGATGTTGTGTTTAAACACCAAGGGGCCCCCGGGCCCCTGGGGCTTAAAGCGTGAGCTGACCGCTAGGGCCCCCGGCCCCGCAGCGCTTACAATGTGAGGCCCCTCGGTGCTTACAGCGTGAGCTGACCGCTAGGGCCCCTGGGCCCCTGGGTGCTTACGGTGTGAGTTGGCCACTATGGCTCCCAGGCCCCTCGGTGCATACATCGACCATAACACCCGGGCCATTTGGTACACACAGTTCATGCTTTAAACGAGAGCTTCTCGGAGAGTGCAGTGCTTCTGTACAACTGAGACACTGGTTGGCACGCTACAATATGCTGTGACATGATACAATATTCACCAACAAGTCAGTTCATTCTGCATAACAGGACAGTATGAAGGGCGTCGTTATGGCAAGCCGTTCGTTATTTGACTTACCGTAACGAGCTATCTCTTTATTTTAGCTAACTGCCCATTTTCCCTAGCTAGCTGCCCAAACGATTCGGCTTGTTAATACAAGTTAGTTAGCTAGCTACCACATTGCCAACTTGCTGCCCTTACAACCAAATAAGCTGCACTAAAAAGCCAGCTAGTGAGACCGAGGGCTTGTCGCTTGTTGAGAGCTTAGTTAGCTGTTGACAAATTAATAATTAAAAATACACTACGGTTTTGTGAAACATACAAAAATATGCCAAAAGCTATATTATTTCATACACTAACGCATATATAAGAGACCCAATCCATAGTTAAAGATTAAGAAAAACCTAATTCATTTTTTCCATAGACCGTCTGTTTTTAGATCCATGGAAGTAGATAATGCTAACGTTGACATGCAAATTGTCGGCAGGTCTTACGATGTCTATTTTTCCCCTCCCCATCGATGGGGTGTGGCTTGTATATAAGACATTTCTTGGTAGGAAAAGCCACAGACAGATGCCTGTTTTCTTGCTTGGTACACCACAGTCATATATTGAGAGACTTTTTCATCTTTTTCTAAAGCAACAGCCTTTTTAAAGGCTATATCAACAATCGCTCCAATGAAGGGTGTTGTCATTATTAATATATATTAATTCAATTATGATCTAATAAGTATTGAGATATGATCTAGATTTGAAGCTTTCGTGACTGCAAGGATTCATACTCTTTGGTTTTTTTCGGTAAAGTCACGGAAGCTTGTGTTGCCCCGAAACGTCGTGATTTAATTTAGTTGTTTTCTTTTATTTTATTTTACCTACGCGACTTTACCGACAAAACCAAAGAGTATTGAGATATGCTATAAATATATTCATATAAATAGCATACTAGTTCTGGAATATGGACCACAACTGTTGGAATAGTGGTGCTTTCAAAAGGAAAGACAGAAAAGAAAAGGAGGCAAGAGAGGCAGTTTGCTTCAAAGTGTTCCCCTCATCGCCAACTTCTTTCAAAATAGTGCTGCTGTAATTATTAGTAATATTAATTAGTAATAATGATGACAGCAGCACTATTGCCAGCTGTGAGGGAGGAACTAGCACTAGTTGAGTTTCCAGTAATGTTGTCACTCTCCCCAGAGCCATCCTTTGAAGGCGAGCCCTCAACAGTTAATGGTTTACAAGAACCATCATTCCACCTCAGGAGCAGTTGGGCAGTTCACAAGAATCAAGCCATTCCTGGTGCTATGAGGTCACTGACCCTACATTATGGCAAAGCACTTCCAGTGACATTAAGTCAGTGCTTATTGAGAGAGGAGCAGTCCCCTTACAAAACTACAGTGAAAAATACCCAGCTTCAGTCCGAGATAGAGTGCTTAGTGGAAAGACTAGAAGTTTCAACAATAAACTTCTGAACTGTATATTGCCAAATGGGCAGGTGTCTAGACAGTGGCTACTATAATCACCCTCAACAGGTTGTGTGCACTGTTTTGCATGCAAACTGTTCTCCAGCAAGCTCGGTGGCTTTAATCAGAGGTTTAGTGACTGGAAGCACTCTGAAAGAATAAGGGAACACGAAAAGAGTGCAGAACATGGCACCCTATAATTGCTATTAAAATTTGACCCATTCTTGGCTGAACATATGAAAAAGTTTGGCGGAAAAGGAAGAGGCACGGTGTCCTATTTGTCATCGACAATATGTGAAGAACTCATTGAGCCAATGGGTCAGAAACCTCGCGAAACAATAGCAGATGAGATTTGGGATGTCAAATATTTGTCAATAATTGTTGACTCCACCCCAGACCTGTCACATGTGGACCAATTGACGTTCATATTCCGGTTTGTTAACAGCAGCGGGAATGTGGTGGAGCGATTCCTGGGCTTTGAGCCAATTGAAAGCCGCACTGGTAAAACTTTAGCAGACTGCGTGACTGATGGTGGAGGGCCTTGAGTTCCACCTCTCAAACTGTAGAGGTCAGTCATATGACAATGCAAGCAACTTGTCAGGAAAATACAATGGGCCACAGGCCCACCTGAAACCAAAAAAACCCTCTGATAGAGGATGTGCCTTGCGCAGCACTTTCACTAAACTTAGTTGGCATTAACACCTTAGACATGAGTAGCCCAGAGGCTGACGAGTTGTTTAACATGTTGCAGATGGGGGAAAGTCTTTCGGAAGACAGATGTCAGACTGACATTAAAATCGCTGTCCAGTACTCAGTGGAGTGCTCGGGCAGAGTCCACCAAGGCACTGTGGAGAAATTACACCCACATTAGAGAGACCTTCGGTGGTATTTGCAATGATGATAATGAGAAAAGAGATACTCGAATTGAGGCCGCTGGACTATGTACTAAATTGGACACCTTAGAGATGGCGTTCATGGCATATTTCTGGGACGTCATACTTGACTCGTTCCACAATACAAGCATGCACCTACAGAAAAGTGACATTGACATCTCTGTAGTAGCACAGCTTTTGTCTTTGTTGAGGGATTTTGTGGCGGGACAGCGAGACCAGTTTGAGGCTTTTGAAAGGGCAGCCTAAAATGTGACAGGTGTCTCTCAGTCATATGAGCACGATCTTCAGTGAAAGAAGAAACACAAAACTTTTGCAGATGACAGCTCAGAGCCAGGTGTGACACTTGAGGGGAGGGAGAAGTTCAAAATATAAACATGTTATGTGGTCATTGATAAGCTCGTGGCATGCCTTGAACATCGGTTCGACGCTTACAAGCGTTTGACCAGTCTCTTTGGAGTTCTGTTAATGTCATATCAGGTGTCTAACAGTGATGTCATAGTGGAAAAGGTAAATGCACTCTCTGCAACATATCCATCAGACCTGGAAATGAACTTTGCCAATTAACTCATCCAATTCAAGTCTTTCATGTCTGACTCTGAGGGTGAGAAGTGCCCAACTAAATTGCTTGAGACGTTGCAGGCACTTAGTCTGCAGTCAGTGTTCCCCAATGTTTTCGTGGCACTTCGGATTTTTCCAACTTTGCTGGTGACAAATTGCCAGGGTGAGCGGACATTTTCCCTTTTAGGCAGAATACAAAATGAGCAGCAGAAAAGCACGTGCCAAACACGTCTCAGCTCATTGTTACTCGTGTCAATAGAGTCAGACCTTGTCAGACAGCGAGATTTTGACGATCTAGTGGATGATTTTGCGAGGAGGAAGGCGAGAAATACACCAATATAGGGGGGGAGGGGGGGGGGGCTACAAAAGACACGTGACCAGGGGCCTCACGGGACCACGATCCGGCCCCGGCAGATGAATAACCTTAACAGCTGCCTCGAAACAAATAAAAAAAACCAGCTATAATGAGGCATGCTTAATCCACTGCTGGATAAACGGCCTCTGAGCCGCCGCCACCCAGAACGTGCAGGGGAAGGTGGTGGGAACGGTTAGAAGGCAAGCAGAGGACGCATTATCTAAACGAAAACAGTCTGGGGATTTTTTTGTACGTGTTTCAATTGAGATATATAATGTTCACAAGACATCGTGGGATTCCAAAGCGAGCGAGCGATTAGTGAAAGCACATGTAACTCGAGACTACGCACGTGTTTACGGGGGCTGGAGGAGGAGAGGGTAAGCGGGTTACCAGGACCGGCATTTATTGGAGTGGCATCCGCCAGAGATCGGCGACCTAGGGAAATATTCTCCTAAACATCAGACTATGCTGGTGGTGGCCAGAATGAGTCTTAATAATACCCAAGTCTTCCTGTGACGAGAAAACCCATCGTTTTCAGAAACATGAGTTTGCAGTTCGCGAAGCAACGAGATTCAGCGAACACGTGCAATGCCGGTAAGGAAGCTCTTAGTCTCGCGCAATGTCTTCTCGTCATTCAAACATTTCAATTGTTGCCATGTGGGCAAGTGCCGATGGGGTACCCATGATGTTGAAGTGGTTCGAGAGGAGGAGGAGAATGGGGGGGGGGTCCTCTGGACAGGATCTCAGAGGCAGACTCGGCAGCCGTGGGCATCGGTGACTGTACCGCACTGACGAGTCTTAATTCTTGTAAAACCGGTCTAGAGTTGTCTCTGTCTCACCGCTGCTCGCCCGTTGGTTTGGTGATGTTTGCTCAATTTTTGGACGACCACAGTTGAGTTGTTCGGGAACTAAGCAAGTTACTTTGCTGCTGCTGCTACGTTGGCGGTGGTGAACAAGCACAAAAAAACAACTTGACACATTCGTCAATAACACTGTGACCTGACAAGGAAAACACATAAATACCATAAATAATCAAGGAAAATGTTGAATTTCAACGAAGGACATCCGTCAACAAGTCTATGATATAACAACCGGGGCAGATGGACAGAAATCGGTGTTCTTTCAACAGTGATGTCCTTAGTTGAAATTCCATATGAAATTCAACACTTTACTGTATGTATATTTTGTCCTTTGAAGGTCACAATGTTATTTACGAATATGCTGAGTTTTTATCTTGACTTAAAGCTTTCGTGACTGCAGAAATTGATATTCTTTGGGTCTTTCGGTAAAGTCACGTAGATAGGTTCAAATAACCAAAGAACATGCTGAGTTTGTGTTGTGGTTATTTGTGCTTTAATATGCAACACTGCCAACGTAGCAGCAGCAGCATCACCAAATAATTTGTTTATATTTTATTGTACCACTAATTTAGCCACGTCGTCAACATCATCATCACTAGCCATGATCAATCCACTGCTGTGATGTGAACCCATTACATACAACACTCTCTACTGTAGCAGTGCTTTGGTGTGTCGTTAGTACGGCTCCCGTTTACTGTTGTATAACCGTGTTTAATCGCCACAACGTACCTCCTGTAGTCCCCAGCGCAAACTCGAAATTTCCCCTGCACGGTATACATGCCGCAGCCTGAAAGCCGATTGCCTCTCCCCCAATAAAGAAACACATAACAACACACGCGATTGTATGATCGATATTAATCAGTGAGCTGATGCTTCGTTCCTACCCCCAAATATCTGAGTGTTGCTGATGACGATGATGATACTGCTGCTGCTGATGATGACGATGTTGTTAATGTTGTTGATGATGATGGACAGGCGATTGTCCACCCGAAAACGAATACCCGGATGTCGAGCGCAGCCGAGATCCATACGACCACGTGGACAGATATTACCAAGAGGGACCCGCGCCAGGTGAGGTCAAACCCGGCATGCACTCGCCACCCACAAACCCACACACACCATCGGCGAGCACCTATTAAGGTCAGCACAGTACGCAATGGGATTAACCGCTGTGTTCAGCACTGTGGGTCATGCCCGGCCGCCTTTGTCTCCCCGGTGATGCGAGCGTTACAGATAAATATGCTTTACCCTTCACCTACATATAAGGGTTCGTTTTTCACTGAATATTTTCCGGGTCGCTGGTAATTACGATTGGAGTAGGCACGTGACCAGTAGCCAAAGCTACCGCTGTATTAGATGTGGCGTGCCGCGTACACAACTCTTTTCCGGGTCACCTAGCAGGACGGACAAGTAAAGCCCCATGTATGGGTGGAGGAATCGGTGGCGCAGTGGTCGGCTGTCCGCGCTTTCAAACCTGGCGAGTTCGAGTTCGAGTCCCAGCCACAGCCAGGGATTGATATCGGAACCGGTCTTTCACCAACCTACACTGATCCGCGTGGTGAAGTATGGTCAAACAACTCCCATAACCGACCGATGTTGTCCTCATGACAATTATCTTTGTCCTCATCCAGCAACACAGGCCACAATAATGTAGGATTATTATCATGGGCAGGCGTATAGACCTTGAACTCAAGTGGTAGTGCCTTATGCCAATAACTTCTCCTCCAAGCCAGCCTAGCAGTAACAAATCAAGCTCTGTGTACACTCACGGAAGGAGAGAGGAATGTTGACGTGAACAAAAAAAAAGACATTACACGAAAAATGATGCATCATTAATGATGGCAACAGCTCAGAGGTGAGGGAAGTCAAAGGAAATCAATCACGAAAGACCAAACAGATTATGGTTATAATGATTACAATGATTATAACTACATTGATGAGAATACGCACTAATATGATGATGATGATTACGCTAATGAAAGATGATCCTCATGGGAAGGAAATAAACGATGACAGGAATCACTCTGACAACGGTGATGACTATAATTATGATTACATTGATGGCAGTGATCATGACAATGAAATTGATAACCATGAGGGTTACAGTGTTGATAATTAGTGATAGTGATGACAATGATTACCACGATAACCATGGTGACATGAGAGTGATGGTGATTATGAAAATGTTGCTCACAATGATGACGATGATTTCAGATAGTCAAAGATCCATTAAATAATAAAGCCAGTGAGTGTGAAAAACAAAAGAATAGGCTTCACTATTTTTGGAAATACCACATGAGTTATGTTCAGATGCTCAAACACCAAATACTCACCTATTTCAAGGCATCAAGTCCGCATCAACCACACATGCTGGTGGCAAAACATGCAACGCAAACGTGCGCTGATGTTGTACGTATGCATTGCCTTCGGAACTGATTGGCCCGCACCAGAGACGGCAGCCTTCGTCATGGCCTTGTCTCTGCACCGGTGTGAGACGAGAGAACATTTTGTCAGTATCAAAAGAGGGGGGGATGAAATCGGCCCGGAGGGGGGGGGGGGCGGGGGGGGGGCATTTATTTCCATGCACCAGGGTCTGCCCCTGCCTCTGAGCCTCCATCCAGATCCTCCATCCAACCTATGCCCCTCAATCCACATCCTCCATCCAACCGATGCCCCTCTATCCAGATCCTCTATCCAACCTCTGCCCCTCCATCCACATCCTCCATCCAACCTGTGGCCCTGCATCCAGATCCTCCACCCATGCCTATGCCCCTCCATCCAGATCGCAGAGGCTGGGAAGAAGTGGGGCAGGAGATGGAATCGGCAGGGGTGGGCGACGATGGCGCCGGCAGCAGCAGCACGGGCGACTGCGTCCCGCTGAGGCTGGGCTACTGCGAGGACCTCCCGTACAGCGCGACGCGCTACCCCAACGCCCTGGGCCACACGTCGCCGCTGGACAGCGAGCGCAGCCCCGAGTACGTGCTCATGAGCGTGCTCCCGCAGCTGCTCGACGGCGAGTGCCAGCCCCAGCTGCGTCTCTTCGCGTGCGCTGTGCTGGCGCCCAAGTGCGTGCCGCCGCCGCCCGAGCCGCACCCGCTGGCGTGGGAAGGTGAGCGCTCGTCGTGGCTCCGGGTCCCCTGCCACCTGTTGTTGTCGTTGTTGCGAGAGGTCCGAGGGTTTGCGAGCCCAGCGTGGGGCCACCACCGGTCTATGCGTCGTCGACATCCCAAGGCGTCAGTGGGTTCCGTGGAGCCGCTGCCAGTGGTGACCAGGGGGTGTGTGTGTTGTGTGTGTGGCTGCCGAAGGCTACCGATGGGGCCTCTGTGACAGCTGCCCGCTGTGTGAATGCGGGCAGCAGGAGACAGGTGGCACGTGTCCCCCCTGCTGGCTGATTATGCCTCTCTGCAGGCCGGGTCCATTCGACTCACTGGAACGGTTGAGACGATGTTTGTGACGTAAGGTGTTTTCCGGTGCGTGACCATTATCAGCACCCTGTAAATGCTAAGTCTTATTCTTATCGCAGTTTGTGCGGATGCGGTTTATGGTGGACCATGAGCTTCGTGGAAAATCAAACCCAGGGATTTTCTGCATTTTGTTCTTTCACAGAATACCATTCATATTGATCACGCCGATGATGACGACGACGACGGTGACGTCGCTGATGATGACGACGACGACGACGTTGATGACGAAGCCCTTCTTGCACCGCAGGCGCCCCGCGCACCCGGTCGCGTGTGGTGAGGCCTTGCCGCGCCGTCTGCACCGACCTCCGGCGGAACTGCGAGCGCGCCTTCCACCGCATCCAGATGCGCTGGCCCCACTACCTGGAGTGCGAGAACCACACGGCGAGCGAGCGCGAGGAGGAGTGCGTGGACCCCACGGGCCGAGGATTCTCCTTCGGTGAGAGCGCCGCCGAGCGGGGGCGGTGCCAGGCGCGGTGGCTCGCGCCGGCGGACTGCCGTGAGGAACTTTCGGAGGCGAGGGTTTTGCGGTGGATCACCGGGGCTACGAGGTGGTCCGGAGGTGGCGGTGGGGCAAGTGGAGGTTTGAGTGTTTTGCCTCCCCCCCCCCCCCCCCCCCCCAGTGAGTACTCGTGGTGGGTTTTCTCCTTGGGGTTTCAGCTCCCACGTGCATTTATACAAACGTACCCATTGGTGGAACGTAACCGGATGTTCCTGAAAGAGTCTCGAGACTCCGGCTTTACTTGATGCATGCTACAGTATGTTTAACTTCTTTCGCACCATACATAACTGACCGTGCGGGGGAAGGACAACAATACTTATTGTGTGCGGGTGCTTAGGCGGATCGTTGCTTCGCAAGATCGTGAGTGGTGACAGCTCGGGGAGGCTCTCATCCAGCAGCGGATTGTTCATGGCTGCTGATGACACAACAACATCAAAACCCAGTGTTTGAGCTGAAGTAGAGGGTGCACATGACCAGATGCAGGGGGGGGGGAAGAGCTGCATGTGAACTCATTGTCCTGAGTGGTGCATTGTTACGCAACTGGCAAAAACCTGACTATGATTGACCTTTATCATTATTATTATGCTTGTTTACCCAGGAAAGCCTCACCCAGTATCACGACTGCTTTACAGGAGGTTCCTGCCAAGCGTTTGCAGTAGGCGGCGATGATGGCTGCGTACGGTATGAAGTAATTTGCGGGTAATGTTTCAAATTTGGAGCGTGACGCCGGCACACAGTGGCTTGCTCTTGCGAGCGATGTCACACGGATCTTAAAAAAAGTTCACTGTGAAGCAGGCGGCGTGTGGCATTAACCAGGGCGGCCGCTACGGATTCGAAACCTCCGAAAAAGAAAGCGACGAACGGCGCCGGCGCTTCGGCCGAGCGGCCTTGGGAAGACTTTGCGCTTCTCTCGATGACACGTCCGCCTTTGTCCCCCCCCCGCCCCCCCTGCGCCCACGTGCCCACACAGACGCTTCGCCGCACGGGGAGGATTGGCCCGGCGCCGACGCGGGACATCGCGGCGCCGTGCTGAGGCACCGACGGCACGCGGAGATGACGCGGGCGCTGCGCCGGGCGGAGAAGTCGTGCGGCGGCGCCGCGAGGCTCTACAGCATCGGCAAGAGCTTCGAGAACCGGGACCTCCTCGTCATCGAGCTGTCGGAAAACCCGGGCAAGCACGAGCTGCGTACGTTGGACTCTCGGGGAGCTTTTTGGCCGAACTGACGGCGGGCGTGTTGACGAGGCGGTCCTGTGTGGCGGTTGGCGTGTTTAACGACGCAATAATATTTACGTGACGTTAAACGTTAGCGCAGTTTAGGAAGGGGGAAAGAGGGAGGGAAAAAAAGTCACACTGACCTGCAGTTCAATCTAGCGGGGTAGGGAGAGGACAAGGAGCCCTGCTGATCCACATATTTGGAGGCAAGGGGTCGGTAGATCACATGTGACTTTGTGAAACTCCTTGCTGGGCTGTCTCTGGATGTCAAGAGATGGTGGCAGTGGGTTCATGAACCCATTCGTGGGGAGCTTTGTGTGTGTCACCTTCTCGTGTGGGAGCTTTTCTCTGGGTCCTCCAGTTTCCTCCCACATGCAAAACACTCTCTAAAATGGAAATGCCTCGATTGAATAGTAACAATAATAATTCTAATGAAAAAGATTCTTGAAGCTCAATAAGGCTCTCCTGGTTAATTGAATGAGACTTTTTTTAATATGACACATCAAGGCCGGACCAATAAGACACCTGCAGTGGGCTGTGAAGGAAATAGATTGATGATATATTCTTTTCTGGGGTTTGAACGTTGTCCCAAATGTATGTCTCTTTTGGACTCTCTAGTTTCCTCCTACAAGAAATACAATTCAAGTGACTCGTCAAATCATATTCAAGCAACACAGGTCTCAAAGCGTGTTTTTTTTTACCATATCAAGCTTAACATAGAGCAAAATAAACGATTGCTTACAGAGAGGTGCGGTGGCGCCAGTGGTTTCACATCCTGCACTCTAAACGTGGCCGCTTGGGTTCGATTCCTGGCCACGGCGAACAACAGTGGCGAATCATACGTATCTCAACCGGTCCCGGGACCCCTACCCTTTGTGCAACCCCTTATAGACCGGCACAGTGAAGTATGGTGAAACAACCCCCCACCCCCTTGGCTGACAGCACGGTGAGGCACGTCCGCCGGGCGGCGGTGGACCGACAAGGAGCCGTGAAAACCGGCGTGGCTTGTGTTATCTGCGAGCTGTTATTTTGTTTTGTTTAAAAGCTCAGCACCCAGGTGTACCGTGAATCTGGTCATGCTGTGACTTTTTAACAAAGGGGATTCGCGACGGAACCATAGAGGGGGGTCAACCCCTTTGTCTTCAAGCGCCGGCGAAGAAAATCGACTCGGTCGCGGGAGATTAAGTTCAGAGCGTCGCCCACTCCTCCCCCCTCCCCACGTTTTCACCGGTGAGGGCGGCTGTAACAGGAGTGGAGCCGGGTTGTTGTTGTTTTTTTGTTGTTGTTGAGACTTCTCTCTCCGATTACGGCAACCGCTTTCACCGACAGCTCGGCCAGACAACACCTGGCTATTGGAACAACAACAGCGAACAACAATCAATCAAACAACAACAGCGAACAACAATCAAACAACAACAATGGACAGCTCACACTCCTCTTCCCTGCTCTCTCTTCCGCTCAACTCACCCGTCTCCCACCCCACCCATCCCACACCACTTCAGCCTCGCTTCATCTCATCCCCATCGCAAGCGTTCACAGCCGGGGAACTCTCGATACTAACCGGCGGTGTCCACCCCGGCACTGCCCTGGCTGTCTTGAATTCCCGTCCTCGACGCTGTGAGACCGTGTTCGCCGTCGCGTGAGCGTATCCTGCGAATGTTGTGTATGGAATCGTGGTCACGTACACGGCGTCATTACGAGTTTGCCGCATATGCGTCACTCGCAAACCCAGGGCAACCTCGCAAACGAGATGTTCCGTCTCGAGTTAATTATTCGGGTGACATATTTCAGTAAAATTAAATAGTGGACGACGGTCTAGAATAATAATAATGATAACAGGAGGTCCAGCCCTCCGAATTCGAACCTCGAACGTCTGCAACGAGCGGTGGGCGGGCGGGGGGAGCGTGGGGGGGGGGACAAAAAAATAATCTCATCGCGATATATTGATTTTTATTTTTACAAATCATTCAACTAAAAATCTCTTACTCTTTGGTTCTTTCGGCAAAGTCACGTAGATAGAAAATTATTAAGAGGTCACGACGTTTCGATCTCTTCCCTCCCCCGTGCCCCATCCTCCTGCAGTGGTACCTGAGGTTCGCCTCGTGGGGAATATTCACGGGAACGAGGTGCTGGGCCGTGAGCTGCTCGTCGCGCTCGCGCAGCACCTGTGCGCACGCCTCGAGGACGGAGACGAGCGCGTCCGCCGCCTGCTCAACACCACGCGGCTCCACATCCTCCCCTCCATGAACCCCGACGGATACGAGCTCGCCGCCGACTCCGTGAGCGGCTCCGTCGCAAACGCCGCGGATTCGTCCGCGCTGCAGGAGCAGCGGCGACAGCAACAAAAGCAGCTGCTGCAGCAGCAGCAGCAGAAGCTGCAGCAGCTGCAGCAGCTGCAGCCCCTACTGCTGCTGCAGCAGCTGCAGCAGCTGCAACCGCGGCAGCGATACTGCTACCGCAGCTGCGCGGTATTTTCTCGCCGTCGAAGAGAGAGAGGGGAAACGACTCAGAGGAGCCAGGGGGAACCACGATACCAACAATTGCCCAAGCTCTACCGTCCTCTTTGCGTTATCAGCTAATTGATGAAGTTATTGTTATTATTACTCCTACTTCTTAGATTGTTTACCCCAGGAGAGAGTGACCGCGTTTCAAGATCCACCTTTCCAAGACGGTCCAGCCGAGCGTTTTGCAGTAGCGGGCGTTCATTGCTGCAACGTGTGCGCGTGTGTACTCCCATTTCAGTCATTTGTGGGAATTATATTTAAAAATTGGCCGACTGGGACCATGACACCGCTACGGAATGGCCTACTCTTGCGAACGGCGTCGGGGGTCTTTAACGTCCGCTGTGGAGCGAGCGACGCGTGTGTTTTAAGGCCATGTCACCGCCACCCCTCCAGAGACCAAAGAGTGAACGGTGGTGGATCCAAGTCGGGGGCACGTGTCCGAAAGAATGAATGAAACGTCTGGCTAATGAATCAGAATATTTATTTTTACTGGAGGAATCCGATGAGCTATAAAGCTCTTTTTCACAGATGTCCAGCAGGGGCGGGTAAGAACGTTACAATAACAAACAGTACAAAACCACGATCATAGTGCAAAGTACATGACAGGTAAACAAATCACCCAAACATACAAATAAAACTAAACCATCCCCATCCTTCCAGGCAAAGCCCACTGACCTGGCCACAAATGAAAGCTCAACAAAGTGGCTTAACATGTGTAAATTTATAGCAGCAAAATAATCTAAATCGTCTCTAAATGTGGAGAGAAAACCGAGAGGATCCATGCGACCACGTGGAGAGAGACACGCACACTCCGAATGAATGAATATCTGTCTGCCCACACTGCCCCCACCACCCCGACGCTTGCAGATTGAGGAGGATCGGCAGGCCATCCAGGGCAGGAACAACATGCAGAACATCGACCTGAACCGCAACTTCCCGGACCTGACGAGCGGCGTTCTGCGCCGGCCTAAGCGCCGCACGCAGCCTCTGCCCGTGCCTGACCAGTACTGGGATGGCAAGGTGAGGCTCACAGGCACACACACACACACACCCAACACGCCGCTAGACCTTTGTCCATTCACCGCGAGGACAAAGGCGGTGTAATCTAATGCTCAGAATCATGATTGTTGATCAGTAACGACGAATACAAGTCAAACGCCGAAAAGATGCGTGCAGAGGCGCACACTGAGAATTACATTAACAGACGAAACACAGCAGCAACCGGAATGAGAGAACGCCACGCAGAGATGCGAGACGGAGGTCGTCCAAACGCTGCGTGAGCGGCCTGGGGGCGGAACGCATCGTGAGCAGGGACGGCGGCCCCACGGTGGCCCCACGGCGGCCCCATGGTGGCGGCGGCGGAATTCGAACTCTTCCGAGAGACGCGTCCGCCGCGGAGACGGAGGGACGCTAAGAGTTGGCGTGCAGGTGCTGGGTGGAATCGTCACGCCGCGGGATTTGTGTGCGGTTCCACGGGGGTTGACCGTGGCCGCCGCCGCCGATGACGACGATTGCCATGACTGCTGTTGTTGTTGTTGCGCCATTCCGTACGTGCGCACGACGCAGGTTGCGCCGGAGACGCGCGCGGTGATCGACTGGATGGAGGAGTTCCCCTTCGTGCTGGCGGGGAACCTGCACGGCGGGGAGCTGCTCGTGCGCTACCCGTACGACGCGTCGCTCATGGGCGAGAAGTTCTACTCCGCCACGCCCGAAGACCAGGTCCATCACAATCAGGATTGTTGTTTATTGCTGAAGGAATCCGATTGAGCTGTAAAGCTCTTTTTTCACAGATGTGCTTGGGACACAACCGTGTACAAAACAACAAAAACACTCGCTTACGGCAACCACACTGTGGCCTTCACAGTGTGGTTGACATTTCGGGCAATGTCCCTTCTCTCCATAGCACACCGTTCGTTGATGTGCTACGGAGAAGGGCCATTGCCCAGTACGTCAACTGTTACATTTTAAATAAGAAATGTATATTTTTTTAATGCCACAGCGTTATTGACTGATGAGTTGTTTTGTTTCTCGTGCTTGTGCGCCACTGCCAACGTGGCATCACCATCATCACCAAACGATGTAACATCTAAAGCTTCAAATCTAGAATCTACAGCGTGCTTCAAAGAAATGTTAACACTTAAATGGGACTATCGGTATTGTTGCAAATTTTCAGAAGTGTTCAACATTTTTTTTGAAGCACCCTGCCGCGGGCCTACGGTCTCCGCAGAGGGCAGTGGCCGCAAAAGCCACCGTTGTACCGTACTATGCTCCAAGGGTCTGTGCTCCCCGCCCTGACCGGCCCACACTCGATCAGTGCAGTGACGTGTGATCAAACACTCATCCAGCAGTGGATAACAAGAGTTATGTATGCGTGTGACACACGCACAGATGTTCCGGCTGCTGGCGCGGACGTACGCAGAGGCTCACCCGCTGATGTCCGACAAACACAAGGCCCCGTGCCCCGGGGAGACCGGGGCACCCTCCGGGGGAATCGTGAATGGAGCCGAGTGGTACAGCTTCCGCGGAGGTGAGCTGGTGAATAGTTGGAGAAGTGTGGTGAGGCAGGAGTGGTGAGGCGGGAGTGGTGAGGCGGGAGTGGTGAGGTGGGAGTGGTGTGGTGAGGTGGGAGTGGTGAGGTGGGAGAAGTGTGGTGAGGTGGGAGTGGTGTTGTGAGGTGGGAGAAGTGTGGTGAGGTGGGAGTGGTGTTGTGTTGTGAAGCGTGGTGTTGAGATGAAATGATGGAGTGTTAAGGGTGGAGTGATGGGGTGGAGTGGTGGAGTCAATGATGAACTGGCAGGTTTGTATGTTTGAAAGCTCCACTGAGTCTCAAGACATTTACAGGAGGGTCCTGCACTGGGATGCTTTAGCCAACTCCACGATTGAGTGATTGGCTGCACATAGGAGGAGAAAGCGGAGGACAAAGATAAAAATATCGTGGTGGTGAGCGATGCTGAGTGGTGGTGAGATATGGTGAGAGATGGTGAGCGATGGTGAGTGATGGTGAGAGATGGTGAGAGATGATGAGCGACGGGGAGCGACGGTGAGCGACGGTGAGCGACGGTGAGCGATGGTGAGCTTCTCTGCAGGGATGCCGGACTTCAGCTACCTGCACTCGGGATGCCTGGAGCTGACCCTCGAGCTGGGCTGCGTGAAGTTCCCGAGCGGGGAGGACCTTCCCATCGAGTGGGCGCACAACCGCGAGGCGCTGCTCACCTTCGTGGAGGCGGTGAGCACCGCACCGCTCGCTCGCTGGCGCGGCACCGGCAGCGCGTCACGTTCATCTCGCCGACAAAATATCATGGTTCCCTTTTTCTGTCGATCCACTGCTGAACGAGGGCCTCCCCACACGCGTTGCGGATCACTGGTCAGTGCGGGTTGGGGAAGGCGGGCGGGAGAGCAGAGGGGCGCGTTACAGCGATGGATTTGAAATTCGTGGCATCCGAATTGGCGTACAATAACAAGGTCTGAAAAAATAAGAATAGGTTTTACCCTTTCTGGCAATAAAACAGGTGTTAAGATGAAGAAACAGATGTTAAGATGAACGTCTTGCCAGAATGGGTAAAACCTATTCTTATGTTTTCATACTTTGATGCTGGCAAAAATAGGTCCCATGTTAACAACAAGGTCATATTCCTACAACGTAATCGATGACCAGATAATAATACATCTATCACCTTCGTATAATCCTTTCTCTCGACAGATAGTGAATAAAAGTATGATTTACATAAAACGATGATTTACATTCCAGCAGCAGTGGTGCAATACAAGCAAACCCCCTTGTGGGCCCGTTTCGACGCACAGCGCCTCCTCAGCTGCCAGCCTTGCTTGAACCAAATGCCCGTGACCTGCCACGTGTTAGAGAGGCGAGGGCCCCCCCCCCCACCCCCTCTTGACCGCACGCCGTCCCAAGGAACGCCTCGCATCACCCGAAGCCTCCCGGCGTCTCCCCCTCCGCAGCGGCTCCGGTTCACGCGGCCCATCGACCATGCACGTGGTTGCTCGAACTGAGCGCAAGTCAACGCGTAAAAGCATTCGCAAAGTCGAAAACAAATAAATAAAAATCACCCATGCACACCTTATAGCCCCTTTCGCTATCCGCTGCTGGATGGGCACGAGCAGCCCCCCCCTCCTCCTCCTTCCTCGCCGTGCGGGCCGTGTGTGGGGTTTGTCTCCGTCGAGACCCCGACGCCTGTTGGTGGTGTCCGGAGCAGGTCCACCAGGGCATCAAGGGGGTCGTCCGGGACGAGCGCGGTGCCGGGATTGGAGGCGCCCGCATCTCCATCAAGGGGAACCTGCGCGACACCGTCACAGGTGCGACGCCCTCACCTGTAGAGACAAAGACAAAGATCCCCCGTACAGCCTGTGACAGACTGTTGGGGGCAAGTGTTGTTAGCCAGCACCTATGGTGGTCGACACAGCAAACGAGGGGGTGGGGATGGATGCCAGCACTTCGCCCGGCCGCCTTTGTCTCCCACGTGGCGATGTTTACACATCGTACCAGTTACTCATTTGAGGCTGAGTCGACCGGCTAGGATAATCGCCACTGGTGTTGGCCGTGAGCGGGAATCGAACTCGGGGTGCCAGGTTCGTAGCGCAGCGTAGCGCTAACCGCTACACCACCGCTCCCCACCACGTGCGCGCGCGCGTGTGCGTTTAGGCGCTCGCTAAGAGCGCTCGCCCCAAACCGCCTGTTAAGGCTATACGGGGGATCTTGGTCTTAGATGTTCGCTAACACTTGCCCCAACAGTCTGTTAAGGCTATACGGGGGATCTTGGTCTTTGTCATATGTGCTCGCTAAGAGCACTTGCCTCAACAGTCTGTTAAGGCTATACGGGGGATCTTGGTCTTTTTCATATGTGCTCGCTAAGAGCACTTGCCCCAACAGTCTGTTAAGGCTATACGGGGGATCTTTGCCTGTGTCCTATGTGCTCGCCAAGAGCACTTGCCCCAACAGTCTGTTAAGGCTATACGGGGGATCTTGGTCTTTGTCCTATGTGCTCGCTAAGAGCACTTGCCCCAAGTCTGTTAAGGCTATACGGTGGATCTTTTCCTGTGTCTTAGGTGCTCGCTAAGAGCACTTGCCCCAACAGTCTGTTAAGGCTATACGGGGGATCTTTGCCTGTGTCTTAGGTGCTCGCTAAGAGCACTTGCCCCAAGTCTGTTAAGGCTATACGGTGGATCTTTGCCTGTGTCTTAGGTGCTCGCTAAGAGCACTTGCCCGGAACGCTGTCACAGGGGTATATATATAGATACGTGGGGGTGGGGATCTTTGTGTGTTTTGGGGCACAGCTCCGAGCGGTGAATTCTGGCGGCTGCTGCCTCCGGGCAGCTACATCGTGCGCGCGTCCCGAGCGGGCTACCGCGCCGTGGTGAAGCGCGTGCGCCTCCCTGCGCGGCTTCAGACGTCCGGCCGCGTCGACTTCAAACTTCCGCGGCAACCCGGCACCACCGCCAGCCCCGTCGAGCCACACGACGGGGGGAGGAGGAGGGGCGGACTGAGCAGGGGTCGCAGCCGCGGCCAGGGCCGCTCCAGGAACAACGGCGAGGACGATGAGGAGGAAGAGAAGCCAAGGTGGTGGGCATACTTTCAGTCCATGGGTATCCAGCCGCCGCCGTGGATGATGGTATCCCCAGACGACGATTACTAAGGTGGTCGTGAATCAGCGATTGCAAATATATTGGCACGCTCGCGATTAAAGTGGGATTGTGCTTTTTTTTTAAGTTACAATCGGCTTGTGTGCAGATGAGGTGGGTTGTCATGTTGTTTGTTACGTGATTTTACCGAATAGAACCAAAGAGTATGGATCCTTGCAGTCACGAAAGCTTTAAATCTAGAATTGTCATATCCTATTTTATGGCAGCAAAATTTTGAACTTTTCATTAACCAGTAGATTGACGACTGATGATACATAGTAATGAGTTCGAGTCAATGTTGCAGCCCATGTGATGCTACATTTCCACATTGCTTTTTTAAGTGAACCGCGACCCAGATGGATTAATTCCATCTAATCGTCACAGCCAGACCAGTTTGTTTTGGTGTTTACCGGACTGAATTTGAAATGTTGAAAAAAATATTTTTTATTCGCATTTCAAGTTAACAAAAATGCACACGAGGCAAACATTTATAACCTTTTCTTCAAAACTAGTTTTAATAATTTGTAAAATGTCTGTAATAAAACGATACATGTAAATGTGGTATGGAAGGATTTTTTTGTTTCTTTTTTTCATACATTCAATTTACTAAAAACATGCTCACAGCCAAATTTTTTCACCTAAATACAAAAAAAATAACCTACCTGGGAGCTGTCAAAGCAATGACACAAATTTAAATATCTACCTTCCCATCTTTCCTTTTCACAAAACGATATCACACTTTTGATAGACGTAAAAGAAAAAAAAAGATACCAAGTCTTATGAAAACACAAAACTTCACAATAACAGATTAACCACCGTGTCAGTCTTCTTTCAAAGGGCAGCTGAACGCTTCGACATCATTCGTGATTAATGCCTCGACTAATAAACAAAATGTATCCCAAAAAAATATGAATCTGTTGATGTGGGGAGCACCATCACACGCGTTAGTTTTATGGGTCACGTCTCCCTTCACACGAAGGCATACGAGGCAATGGGACACGTGCTGCACCTCCGATCAGCTTGGTTGGCTACGTATGGTGGGAAAGAAGTTCAACATACATACACACCCCTTTCTCCAGTCCTCCCAACTGCGGTTCAATTAACTTTTGAAAATTGGTGGCACAACTCTAACATCTTTTTGTCTCAGCAGTATCTCCTTTGTTATATGTATACTAATCCATTGGTATTATCAGCATAACGGTAATGTTTGCAATTTCGTATGTGCATGACAAAGCATGTTGAGTGGAATAGCTGATTTTAATAAATTAATCTTTGACATAAACGTGTCTGGTTTGCATCCGGTGGCATGTAACGATGCATCAATTACATGACATCCTCGGACTCGTAATGCAATCGTCTAATCACAAGTAACAAATTGATCAATTACGAACATCGTGTGCCAATGTTACATTAAGCTAACGTCAAACAGTACAAAGAAGAAGAAATGGCACGAGACCATGAATGAATTGTGGAATCGACTGCGGATCACGGTTCCCGGAGTCAAGACAATTCGTTGAATCGTCCCTTGGAGTAACGAGCGCGAGTCGTCGTCTTCTTCACACGGGCAGCGGCAGGGCCTTCACGTCAGCGAAGCAGTCGTCATAGGCCTCCTGGTAATCCTCGTGCGCCTTCACCAGGATGACGCAAGTGGCGCGCTTCGATCCCGCCGCTCCGCCCAGGTCCTGAACGCACAAAGTGACATCGACAACGTTCAGCAAAATGGGCAAATGCAAAAAATGAGGTGGCAAGAACACAGCTTGTCAGGGGAGCTTCAATTGTTTGGTCGTGGAGCCTGACTGTCTTACAGCAGTGGTGGCCAATACGTGGATTGCGATCCATGGGGTGGCTCTCAAAAATTGTTTGTGGATCGCAGCACAAATTTGAAAACTAAAATGAGCGTACAATAATCGTCGTTGCGGTTAAAGACAAAAAAATATCCACTCAATTCATCCAATAAAACATATATAACATCTACCAGTAGATGGCACTATACTACGTTATACTTTACAGGGTTAATTCCGGGTAGATTTTGGTCACAGCTCTCTGGTTGAGATCTCCCAAATGAATTCGAGGGTTTGGTAGACTGTGCCAAATGCGCACTTCAACAGACACGTGCGTCAGATGCACGTGCGTCGCGCGCCAGTGCGCAGTCTTTAAAGTTATTATACACGTGTTTATTTATTTATAAACATTTTCCAATCTCGCCACAAAAAAAACTCTCTTCATACCTTGGCACTGAGTACAGGTCTGGGTGACAGGTCAGCTGGGCGATAAGAGTGTCTACTCTTAGTTGTTGCTATCATGAAGACGTGTCATGTCTGTCCCCCCTCGAAATTGAAACGGCGGAGTTGAGCGTGGTAGTGGGTGGGAAATGTGAGTCGTCTGCTCTTACCGCCTTGGCCGGGACGTAGCAGTACGGCAGGTTCTGATCCTCGCACATGATGGGGATGTGGCAAATCACTTCCACCGGTTGCGTGTCTCCGGCCAGCACAACGATTCTGCAAGCAGTCACGACACAAGCAACGCAGGTCACCTTTTTTTTTAAACAAGCGCGTGTTGATAGTTTAAATTGTGAATGGGGGGGGGGTCATCGAAGGCGCTGCGAAAAACAAACTTCAATCGAAGCACGCCACTGAGTTGTTGCATCTGACGACGAACGAGCGCTCACCCTTTCTCGCCCTTTTTCAGGAATTTCTGCACCTCCTTCACACCCCTCCTCAGCATCTTCTGCTTGGATGCTGTTGAAGAATGCAGAGGACGCAAGATGAGCGATTATGGCACAACATCCAAAATGGCATTCATCCATCATTGGTCTTACACGTCCCGCACTGAGCTCCAGTCCGAGTGTCATGTACAGCCCACTTGTGAATCCACTGCTGGATGAAGGCCTCCCCCCGCCGCGGGTGTTATTTGACTATTTCACCCCGCTGTTCAGCACGGGTTGTAAAGGGGAAAGAGACCATTTACTGGTTAAAATATAACTCGCCATTGTTAGCCGTGGCCTGTTATTGAAACCCCCTTGTATTCCGAAGTCAGGAGCCTAGAGAGAGGTGAAAGGCAAACGAGATATGAAGGATATACGTATGAGGGGCAGGGGATGGCCCACACGTGAGAAATACTACGGCGCACCTGATACAGCCTAACACATAGGTAGGATACGTACAAGAGAGAGGCGACACGCGATACCAAAGAAGCGCAAAAAACAGACGAGGGCGCGCAACGTTAGAGACCAAACACCACGAGAAGCACACACGTGATATAACCACAGGACAGCACACCAGACAAGAGTGTGGTGGATAAGCGACACGATGAGAGGGAGAGCGACACGAGAGGGACAGATAGACACGAAGAGAGGGACACGATGGGAGGGAGAGACACGATCGGAGGGAGAGAGATATACGACGAGAGAGAGGGGCGCTGGCCTCCCCGTACCCTTCTTGATGGTCTTGTAGAGCCTCTTTGTGAGTTTGCGCGAGGCGAGCGGGTTCGCGATCACGCTCACGTTCGCCACCAGCTCCTCGTACGACTTCTCCACTGGGCCCGCGGCGGGCTCCGCCTGCCCCTCCTCGGCCACCTTGTGCTTGCTCGACTTTGCCATGGCTGAAGCGTTCAGGGGGTGTGGTGGTGGTGTGGTTGTTGTCAATTCACGGCGCTGAATCTCCGCACGTCCCCGGTTCGATTCCCAACTTCGTGCAGGCGGCTCCCACGTGGTGGCGCCACGAGCCTGTGGCACCACTGCGCATGCGCGAAGGTAGGCTAGGGCCCTCCGCTTGATGACGCCGCGGGCCACTTTAGGCGTCCTGAGAGCGGCTGGGAGTGCCTGCAGGAATGTTTTCCTGCAATTGATCGCCTTATTAGTGAGTGCTAGATAAAACACTTATCCCTTGTCAGTTTTATCCGTATTAGTTTAAAATATGTACCTCATATTTCATTTCTTAGATGTATCTGCCTCGGGGAAGCGCAGTTTGTATTTAAAATGTTTTTTTTTAAACATATGGCTGCGAGACTTCTCTTAGTGGCTACCCCTTGACTACAAATTACACAATATTTAGTCTCTTATTTCGTCGCAAAAATTAAATTTGGCATTTTATTCATCTTTAGCATGCACGCATTTTTAGTATTTTTCGTATAGACTTCTCACCAAAGCTGGCACAGTTTAGTTACGCTTTTTGGGTCTGGCTAAACATCACATAATTTCATGTAATATGCAAACATTACATAATTTCAATTCGTTTAACAAGGTAACTTTCGAAGAAGTTGTTAAAACAACGATTAACTACATTTTCAAAATGTTATTTCAATTTAATGCGGTATTACCATACTCGTTTTGATCTAAGGGGCCGTCCATAAATGACGTCACGCACCTTGGGGGGGGGGGTCAGACATTTGTGACGTGGAGAGGGGTTTGAGAAATGTGACGTCACATCAAAATGCGCAACTTTAAATACAGACAACACGTTCTACTTAATTAAATATACTTTTTAATAAATGTGTTCTACATCAGAGTGCAGCGGCACATTAAATACGCACTACAATGACAATAGTGTAAAGTGATTTGAAGCATGTTTTATACATATATTTTTTTGGGGGGGCAGAGCTTTGTGACGTCATATTTGAGGGGGGTCTGTTTGTGACGTCGTGTGACGAAGGGGGGGGGGGGGGTCAAAAATCGTCCAAAATCGCGTGACGTCATTTATGGACGGCCCCGAAAACGGTTTAAGACCAACTTTTGAGTAATGATTTTGAATGCTAATTTAAATGGCATTGTGTAGTTCTTTATTTTGGAACAGAAACATTTGAACAGATGTAACAGCGTACAATTTCATCATAAATTAAGTTTTATTTTTGATTGATTAAATTAATGGTGCACAGTAACTCTTCAATTGTACATGTACCATGTACAATATACAATATACTATCTACAACTGTTAATTACCCAATTGCAAAGATATGCAGAAATTACTATTTTTTTAAAAAATAAATCTCCATTAAACACTCACTTAATTCCCTTCTTCGTCACGCATTTATTATACTATTTAAAGAAAAATAACCCTCCACAAACTTTTAAACCGTGTTTCATACAACTAAATGTGGTACATGATACGATCAGTTTTTTTTTATCACGCTAATTAAATACTGGACATCAAACATAGACGACATCTGCAAGTAAACATGCAACAGTAGTAAATATGATCCCAAGTCACAGTGCCCCTGTCACCGTGGCTGGAGTTCAACAGGGAACATCACTCACGCTCAATTCACTGGTCAATGCAGGCCTCCCAAAGGCCACTGCCAGATTTCAAGGTTTTGCGACGTAACAATCCACCCGGGGATCTGCACACCACGCCAGACGATACAGTCGAACGTGCTCCTTTGGCCCCATCACCCTGCTGTCAGCCTCGAGAAACTGGGGCAGAGAACATGTGGGTGTGTTTCATACAGCACTCGGGCTAGGGCTGGCAGGAGGAGACAGGAAGTCAGACATAGCATCTTCACAATCTTCTTGCTTATCCTGCAGGATGATATCTCCCTTCGCCTGGCTGCCATCCCCTTCGCCAAGCCCTTCACCAACCAGGTCTTCTGCCAAATCGACTGTTGCCATTGCTTCAGAAAGACGCACCACTTCTGCCCCACGTTGCTCAATGTCATCCACAACGAAGAGAGCCTTATCCAGGGCGTCGGCGTCCTCTTCTAAATCCTGCTCGGCAGACAATATTTGTGCCACCGACAGCCCCGCCACTGTGCTATGAGCAGACGCCCCTGCTCCTAACATCGCCAGTTCGGCCAGAGTCTTGCACGTTTTGTGCATCGCTGCATGGCATGGCTGCTCCTCGCTGCCGACATCCTGAAACGGGAGGCTCGACACGCCGCACGCGTTCGCGTCGGCGTCTTTGCTCGCACGCTCGGATGCGCCGTTTCCGTCGTGAGGAAGTTGTGGTTGAGCAGCAGCGCCAGCTTCTGTGGTCAAGCCGAGGAATTCTGACTGCGCCTCGCTGGTATCCGAGTGGCTGTCCGTGCAAGCCGGTTCGTCTGGCTTCCTGGCCGAGGCCTCTCTCTCCTGCCCCTCTGCCTCCTGCCGACAGAGCCCCAGGATGGCGGAGTCCTGGGGCGCAACGCCAACACCGGAAGTACCTGCTGATAATGTAAGCAATTAGTGATACGGATGTTTTGCGTGGGTGATGAACTTTAATTAAAAAGCAAACAATAAGGTGTTGTCTATACTCTTTGGGTCTTTCGGTAAAGTCATGTAGATAGAAAAATAATATATCACGACGTTTCGATCGCAACACAGGCAATCGTCTTCACGTGAGGTCATGTCTTCACGTTAAGTCACGTGAAGACGATTGCCTGTGTTACGATCGAAACATCGTGATCTATTATTTTTCTATCTACGTGACTTTACCGAAAGACCCAAAGAGTGTGAATTCCTGCAGTCACGAAAGCTTTAAATCAAGATTTAAGATGTTATCTGTTTTTACTGGGTTTGTACAATTTGTAAAACTGTAAATGCTTGCTGGGATTGAGCCGAACATTTTGGTCCTTGAAAATTATTACTATAAACGAGCAGGAGCTTCATCTACTTATGCATACCTGTCAACCCATACGGTTTGCCTGTATTATTGTACAGGGAAAGAGTTTTCAGCTCCATACAGCATACAGCCATTTCAATATGGGCAAACATTTTTTTTGTCTATTTGTGTTTCTCGCCTGTGATGGGACTTTGTAGGATAAACGTTGAGATTTATAAGGGCACCAGGTGACCAATAAGGTCTGAAATCTTACTGTTTTCACAATGAACGTGTCAAGTTGCTCATCAGATAGAAAAAAATATATAATTGGTGATGTTCTGAGCAGTGGCCCTTCATAACACAAAGGACCATTTCTCGAAAAATCCTCGATTTTCTTTTTTTGCTTTTAAGGCCACAGTGTTATTGATGAATGGACTGAGTTTGTTTTTGTCCATTGTGCTTGTGCACACTTTACAAGAGAGCATCAACATAATGTGCAGTAGTATTATTAGTATCACCGATCTGGGTAGACTGCTTCAAGAAAAAAGTATACTTAGCCTCAAATGTATTCATCCGCCAATACGCATCATGTTATTTGCTATGAAATATACAATGATGTACTTAAGTTTAGACTAGGAGACTGTGTTTAATTATGGCCATCTTTCTTACCAGTTGCACTGCTGAGCACCATGGGCTGCAGAGGAGGCTTGAGGTCTGAAGTCAATTTTAAGCTTCCAGCCCCATTGAGACTTAGCATGGGATCTTTGCTACCTGTAGTCCAAGCGACACAACAACCATTAATAATACTATTCTAATTCAGCTGAAATGAAATAGAAATGCGCATTAGGATACATCGATGCTGCTGAGACAAGTGCACATAGGTTAGTGGAGACATTTGTAAGCACCGATATTAAAAGCCGACATTTTCACTGAAAGAAAAATATTTCCAGAATGATTTCAGCGTGTTATTCCATTCACATGTGAGATTTTTTTTTATATTTTTGAACGAATGACTGAATCTCGTCTCAATAAATCATATAAAGAGTGCCCAGTAAAATAAACATATATACAGTGAGGGAAAAAAGTATTTGATCCCCTGCTGATTTTGTACGTTTGCCCATTGACAAAGAAATGATCAGTCTATAATTTTAATGGTAGGTTTATTTTAACAGTTAGAGACAGAATAACAACAACAAAATCCAGAAAAACGCATGTCAAAAATGTTATAAATTGATTTGCATTTTAATGAGGGAAATAAGTATTTGACCCCCTCTCAATCGGAAAGATTTCTGGCTCCCAGGTGTCTTTTATACAGGTAACGAGCTGAGATTAGGAGCACACTCTTAAAGGGAGTGCTGCTAATCTCAGCTTGTTACCTGTATAAAAGACACCTGTCCACAGAAGCAATCAATCAATCAGATTCCAAACTCTCCACCATGGCCAAGACCAAAGAGCTCTCCAAGGATGTCAGGGACAAGAATGTAGACCTACACAAGGCTGTAATGGGCTACAAGACCATTGCCAAGCAGCTTGGTGAGAAGGTAACAACAGTTGGTGCGATTATTCACAAATGGAAGAAACACAAAATAACTGTCAATCTCCCTCGGCCTGGGGCTCCATGCAAGATCTCACCTCGTGGAGTTGCAATGATCATGAGAACGGTGAGGAATCAGCCAAGAACTACACGGGAGGATCTTGTCAATGATCTCAAGGCAGCTGGGACCATAGTCACCAAGAAAACAATTGGTAACACACTACGCCGTGAAGGACTGAAATCCTGCAGCGCCCGCAAGGTCCCCCTGCTCAAGAAAGCACATAAACACGCCCGTCTGAAGTTTGCCAATGAACATCTGAATGATTCAGAGGACAACTGGGTGAAAGTCTTGTGGTCAGATGAGACCAAAATGGAGCTCTTTGGCATCAACTCATCTTGCCGTGTTTGGAGGAGGAGGAATGGTGCCTATGACCCCAAGAACACCATCCCCACCGTCAAACATGGAGTGGAAACATTATGCTTTGGGGGTGTTTTTTCTGCTAAGGGGACAGGACAACTTCATCGCATAAAAGGGACGATGGACGGGGCCATGTACCGTCAAATCTTGGGTGAGAACCTCCTTCCCTCAGCCAGGACATTGAAAATGGGTCGTGGATGGGTATTCCAGCATGACAATGACCCAAAACACATAGCCAAGGCAACAAAGGAGTGGCTCAAGAAGAAGCACATTAAGGTCCTGGAGTGGCCTAGCCAGTCTCCAGACCTTAATCCCAGAGAAAATCTGTGGAGGGAGCTGAATGTTCAAGTTGCCAAACGTCAGCCTCAAAACCTTAATGACTTGGAGAAGATCTGCTCAGAGGAGTGGGACAAAATCCCTCCTGAGATGTGTGCAAACCTGGTGGCCAACTACAAGAAACGTCTGACCTCTGTGATTGCCAACAAGGGTTTTGCCACCAAGTACTAAGTCATGTTTTGCAGAGGGGTCAAATACTTATTTTCCTCATTAAAATGCAAATCAATTTATAACATTTTTGACATGCGTTTTTCTGGATTTTTTGTTGTTAGTCTGTCTCTCACTGTTCAAATAAACCTACCATTAAAATTATAGACTGATAATTTCTTTGTCAGTGGGCAAACGTGCAAAATCAGCAGGGGATCAAATACTTTTTTCCCTCACTCTATGAAGAAGAACATGTGAAAAAGATAGACCCATAGAGGCATACAGAAGACATGCAATTAACACATGCACATGTGTGGCATGCTAAAGAGCAGAGAAGAGGGGACCAGTACCTATGCCCACAGACACACTGTAGGTCCGGCCTGGTGGCAGGTGAGGTGGTGTGGAAAG